TTGCCAGTACTTACTCTGTCTTTGGTCCTAGTCTGCTTCATATTATGTACATTTTTTTATCCCCTCTGCTTACCGCAAGGCCCAGCCAGAACTAGGTGCTCGATGCAACTTCGAATGAAAATGAATTTTTCTTCTTGACTATTATGCTAGCAGTCATAAAAGAGCCAGTTCTCCAAACTGAAGTTTTTGTCAAAGTTTACTGAGCTCATATCAAAATAATTTCAACTGCCCAAGCCAAATAAAGAATAGCACAGCCCTAGCTGGTTTGGCTCAGTGGATAGAGCATTAGCCTGCGGACTGAAGGGTCCCAGGTTCAATTCCGGCCAATGGCACAAGCCTGGGTTGCGTGCTCAATCCCCTATAGGGGGCATGCAGGAAGCAGCTGATCAATGATTCTCTCTCATCAATGATTCTCATCATTGATGTTTCTATCTCTCCTCCCTTCCTCTCTGAAATCAATAAATATATATTTTTTTAAAAAAAGAATAGCACATACATAACTCACAAGTCTATTATGACGAAATAAAAAAAATTTAAGGGGATTTACAAACATGAAAGGTGCTTTATATGATAATCTCTACATTTGCACTGCCCTCTTTACAATCATGCGCTGCAATGTATATATGAAGGTGATCCCATCTACACTAATAAAAGAGAAACATGAAAATTGGTGTCACTCAGCTATGCCTACCAGCCAATCAGGGTGAGTATGCAAATTAACCCAACAAAGATGGCAGTTAATTTGCATATGCAGGCACTGAGCGAAGACTGAAGGCTGAAGACGACTGAAGAGTCTTGGCTTCTCTGCTGCAGCTGGAGCGAAGGTCTGGGTCCCAGGTGCCAGAGGAAAACCGGTGTCAGCAGCCAGGGGAAGGAAGGCCTATTGCATGAATCTCTTCGTGTAATGGGCCTCTAGTTAGATTATAATGAAGCTGAAAATTTTCTATTGCCTAGTGATGTCATAATGTCACAGCACAACACATTACACAAATACTCACCATTGTGTTACAGTTGCCTACGGTATTCAGTACAGTAATGTGCCATATAGGTTTGTAGCATGTACTGTAGAGGGATAGAATTTGTGACCCCAAAATATGTCTATTTGGCATAAGGATTGTTTTAGGCCAGTTAATTTGAACAAACAGCTGACATGGGAGAAACTCTGAAAACCAAGTAGAAGTTACTCTTTGTAAAAAAAAAAAAACAAAAAAAACATTTACTACATTGTAAGGGAAATCTACACTTGTAAGGGTGTATACCTTGCTATACCAGGAGTTATCTATAGAAACTCTTATCATGCTAAAGGCCAAGACTTAAATCTGCATAACAACCTTACCCTTTTTTTTTTTTACTGTGTTTTTCCTGATAACCTCCTATAACTCACTCCTCCCACCCTCAACATCTTTTCAGCTGAAGATGGTATTTAAGGTGGTGGCTTCAACCATTTTGGTGAATTACTCAACTTTCTTGGGTCTCTCCCAAGTATACTGGAGGTATACATGTTATTAAACTTTTGTTTGTTTTTATACTACTAATCTGTCTTTTAATCAGGGATGCCTCCGTCAAGAACCCAGAAAGGTAAAAGGAAAATTATTTTCTCTCCCCTACAGAGCAATAGGCTATATCAGTGGTTCCCAACGTGGGGCACACATCGCACAGGGGGGCAATTTGATTTTTAAGGTGGGCAATTCAAGAATGAGTTATTAACAGTGAATTTTTTGCATTTCTTATGGTTCTAAGGGCCTCATATACAGTATATAAATATATGTTTTGACATGCATTTCAGTTCTCTATTATATGTTTTGAAACTTTGCTATTTTTTCATATCACTTCATATTATTATTTTTTAATAATTTATTAGTGATTTCTTCCTCAGTACTTCAACTGTCCTTTTATTCTTTTATTTTCTCTTTCATGGCTGCCATGTTCTTTTGAAGCTTGTTTAGACCAAGTTAATGGCCTTTTAGGCTTCCTCCACGTGAACAGGTGTTCACTTTTTGAATAATAAGAATTATATGTCACAGCGAGGTCATCAGGATTTTAGAGATGCTTAGGTTGGGAACTACTGGGCTATCCCATATAGCCTAGGTGTGTAGTAGACTATACCATCTAGATTTGTGTAAGTGCACTGTGATGTTCAAACAAGAAAGTCGCCTAACAATGCATTTCTCAAAATGTACCTCCATCATTAAGCAGGGTATGGTTGTACTAGTGTTGGCTTTATTTCATGTTTATTTAATAAATATTTATTGAACATTGATCTTGTGCTAGTGTTAGTGGGGAAACCGCACCAGAATGTTACCAACAATTGGACCTGGGTTCAGCAACCTCAGTACTTGAGTTCTGGTAAGAAAGAATTCAGAGCCAAGACTCAAATACAAGTAAAAGTTAGAAAGTCACAGAGGTAGAAAAAGTGAGCCAGCTAGGCTGCATGGGCTCAAGGAACAAGTTACAGAGGCAAAAGAAGAACCCTGGGAACTTAGGAGAAGGAAACCAAGGATAATGCTCCTGGTGGAAGGGGAGGGGGAAAAGTGGGCACGCTCAAGGGCAGGGGAGGGGAAGCAGAGGGAGATGGGAAAGTAGGACACTCTGAGTCTTTTCTGAATCCTTTGTCTGAAGGGGTTTTATCCATTTCCCAAAGACGGGGATTTTAGGGGACATCTCAGAGGAGGATCTGAACAGAATTTTATCAGTTTTCTAGGTGTATCCTCTCTCATCATGGTCTCCACTGATTAGTAGTGCCAGGGCCGGGGGTCATTTGTCATCACAGCTGGTCCTGATGTCAGCCTTGGCACCACCCTGCCTGGCCTTGTTGTTTTTTGGAGGGTCTGGAGCTGAAACATAGCTGAGGCCTAGATGTTATCTCAGGGCTTAATGCTCAAGGGAGTCATATGGTGCTATTCTCTGGCCCCCTTGTTTTTCCTCTTGGGGGAGGAGAGGGTCTACCACATGACTAGTGACATGCCAGCGGAGGAAAGATCGGGGGAGAATCTGAACTGCATGACCAGACATGCTAGGGGAGGGAAGGTCACTCTGGGGGACAAGGTCCCACCCCAGTTTTGCCCATTCCACCCGGCAACTTTCTGTACTAGCCTGTTGTTTCTATTCTACTCCTGCCTGTCTAATTGCCTAGGAACTGGAGATGCAAGGATAAACAAAATTTAGTTCCTTCCTTCATAGAAGTTACATTCTAATTAGCACTGTGGGTTAAAGTTGTTTAAAAAATTCAATCAAGTAAATTTGTAAGAATATGTTTTTATTGATTTTAGAGAGAGCGGGGAGGAAGAGAGAGAGATAGAGACATCAATCAATCGGCTGCCTCTGGCACGCCCCTACTGGGGATTGAGCCCACAATCCAGACATGTGCCCTGACCCAGGATTGAACTGTGACCTCCTGGTTCATAGGCCAATGATCAACCACTAAGCCACACCAGCCTGGCTCATCTGAGTAAATCTGAAGATCTAATTGGCTTTATTAAATGATTCACTGGGACAACATCCCATGTAGCAACAAGGATGCTTCGAAGGGGTTGTATGAAATGGAGCTATTAACAAAAGAAGAAACTGATGTTTTTTAGACCAGGACTTCTTTTAGGGAGAGAGGAATACAAGGGTTTTTATCATGCAGATTGTCTTTTCATTCTTGGGGAGGGGGTGGGTGGATAGGGGGAAAACATGACAGATTTACCTTATTTGTGCTTGACCAGAAAATTCCAGACTTATATTAAGATTACATTTCTGGGAGAGGTTGAAATTGCAATTAAATTAGGTATTAAATCTTGGTTTGATATGGCTTTTACACTGAGTGGTACTATTTTGGGGCCGTGGTTTTCTCTTTAAAAAGGTAAAAGGGCCGAAACCGGTTTGGCTCAGTGGATAGAGCGTCGGCCTGCGGACTGAAAGGTCCCAGGTTCGATTCCGGTCAAGGGCATGTACCTTCCTTGCGGGCACATCCCCAGTGGGGAGTGTGCAGGAGGCAGCTGGTCGATGTTTCTCTCTCATCGATGTTTCTGACTCTCTATCTCTCTCCTTTCCTCTCTGTAAAAACTCAATAAAATATTTTTTTTTAAAAAAAAAAGGTAAAAGGAATTTGAAAGTCATTACCTACCCAGTCCCATCACTGCATAAAATAGATGCCGGAGGAGCCAGCAGCATTTCACCTTTCCATGCTTTTTTGCTCCTCACTGCCAACCTCCTCATTGCCCTTCACCCCACACAGCAGTCCTTTCCCCTCGGGGGAATATTATATAAGTAATATTTAAAAGATTGGACCCTTTCTGCAAGTAATGGCAACAGCTTTTCTTATAGTCTCTGGGTGGATGGATAACAGGTCCAGTTTATTCCCTCTTGTATTGTACCAGTAGTAGAGATCCTGGTAATTCTATATTTATATAAATATATATATTTCAGAGAGGAAGGGAGAGGGAGCGATAGAAACATCAATGAGAGAGAACCAATGATTGGGTGCCTCCTGCATGCTCACTACTGGGGATTGAGCCCATAACCCAAGCATGTCCCCTTGACTGGAATCGAACCCGGGACATTCAGTCCTCAGGCCGACACTCTATCCACTGACTAAACCAACTAGGGCCGGTAATTCTTTTTTTCTTCCTGGCACTGAAAAGTCACATAGCTTCCAGGGTCCCAGGTTTCTGGGAGGGTCCTCTAGCTTATCATAAGTTGGAGGGTGAGACAGGTAGGGTTAGGCGGGTCCCTAAAATTATGTGGTCCATGCCCGGTTCTCCACCTTCCTCTATACTCTTTGGAGGACGGCACATGCAGGGCACCCAGGAAGGCCGGGAGTGGCATTGTAAGCAGCCCGCTGGCGGTGGGAGTGACTGTGGGAACCCTTTGAGGGAAGGAATTACGCCATCGGCACGCCCAATGTGCAGGGAGGAGGGGGCGGGGCTCCACTCGCGGGCGGAGGGCGGGCTTGCGTCGGCTAAGTGAAGCGATTGGCTCTGCGTAGGGGAGGCGGCCCTTTTCCGCTGAACGCCGGAAGTTGTTCTCCCCTCCTGCCAGTGGGCCATGGAGTTGGTGGCACAGTAACGTCTGAGGTGTGAGGATTGCGGGGCCGGCGGCCATGGAGGCCGTGCTAAACGAGCTGGTGTCTGTGGACGACCTGCTGGTGAGGCCTGGCCCAGAGGGAGGGAGAGGAAAGGTTCGGGCGGGCGGGTCCTGAGAAGAATCGGATAGGGGCCAAACCCTTTTCTCATCATCAGCCTTCCCTAGTGACGCTGAACTACTACTCCCGGCAGCCTTTGCAGCGTCCGTCTCCTGCCGAGATGTTCCATTTTGCCCCAGAGACTAATGGGACTTGTAGTTTCTTACGCCACCACGCCTCAGACTCAAGGCCTGGAGTCTGGCTTGGAAAGACTGATGGGTTCTGGGTGCGTGCAACAGTTAGGTCAGTGTCCTAGCCTGGTTTAGAGTGCTCCCTCGGTGGCGACCACCATAAAGTTTCATATGTTACTCACTGTATCTGGCACGATGCTAAGTACATCGCAGGCGATATATCAGTCTTTGAGTTGAGAGGTAGGCAGCATCTTGTTCCGGTTTTGCAGATAAGAAAAAGTCCAGACTCGGCAAAGCGGGACGGGATGGGGGAAGCAGTCTCCGACGAGGGACTGTGTGGGCTGCTGAGCAGTTCTGACTGGTGTTGAACAGCATGTTTACTGTTTAGCCACTCGGGGTCAGTTGCTCCGGGAGCGGTGCCTGGAACCGCCACCAGGTGGCATCTCCACTCAGTACCAGTAGGGGGAGGGAGCAGGGATGTGGGGGAGGGGTGGGAGACTGTCCAGAGACATGCCGCCCACAAGAAACTGAAAGCCTGGGTCCCAGAGATGGAGATAGAACTTGTGGAGCCAGGTATGAAGACCCGCAAGGGAAATATGGCAGAGACTGGGAAGGATGGAGTGTAACTGGGAAATGGACACAGGGTCCTGATAGAGAATGGTTTGCCCTCTTCGTTTCTAAGTGACTCCTCTCCTCTCCTATGGCAGAAGTTTGAAAAGAAATTTCAGTCTGAGAAGGCAGCAGGCTCGGTGTCCAAGAGCACGCAATTTGAGTATGCCTGGTGCTTGGTGCGAAGCAAGTACAACGATGACATCCGTAAAGGCATTGCACTGCTGGAGGGTGAGGTGCCAGGCTACCCTACCCCCCTTCCCAACTGCAATCAGGGTCTTCCCCGCTCTCCTGCCATTGGTCATTCCCTTCCTCCATCTCAAGTGGTGGGATTCTTTTTCAACATGGGACCCCGTATTACAGACACCGAACAGTTATTTTACAGTAAACTCACTGTAACAAAGGACCATACACATTAGCCTGGCTTCCAGTGTACTTTGGGCTAATTACCACCTCATTGTTTTGCCAAACAGTCAGACCATGTCAGTGTCCACAGGACTTTGGTGATCTGGTAATCTAACCATAAAGAAAGTGACTTGTCTGAAGGCCTACAGCTATTAATGGCTGAATTAGGACTAGAGGCTCCTATCTCCCGTGTCTCAGTCCTGTGCTCTTTGCCCCCCACCATGTCGCTTATTCAGCAGCTGTTGAAACCTTTTGTGAGGGTGGCATGGAAGAGGTGCAGAAGACAGTCCCAAAAACCTGTGAGCAAATGATGCGTTTTTGATTGGAATCTTATTTCCCATTGTTTTGGGATGGGTCACCATTTGTCAGAGGCCACAGTATTTGGCCTTTAAATTTCTTTGAACTCCCTCTGTCTTGGTCAAGTAATTGTAATTAAGAAAACAGTCAGTGTACTAGCAAAGAATGCCTATTATAAATCTATAAAAATTCTTAGTGCAAATAATCTTACCCTACATTTGTCTGATTTGCCAATTCAGATTTTTTTAAGGTTTCCTCTACAACAGGGCACAGCTATAGAAGAAGTGGTCTCTAAGAGGTTGCCAGTCTAGTTGAGGAGATAGTACAGACACTGGGAAGATTTATCAACACCCACAAAACTACTTAGCAACAAATTCTAGTGCTTAGAGTACAATTGAACACATAAGCCTCTGGGAAGTCACTGAATTAAGAGTCAGGTGGTGGTATTCAGAAAAGGCTAATTGAAGGTGAGTTTTCACCTGATTTTTTAAAAGGGGGGTGGGGTGGGGAGTACAAACTTACTTTTAACACTTATTTGGGCAACTAGAAACTGTAGTTGAAACAACAGATGTCAAAACTGAGTAGAGATACCTCTTGGCCTTTCCAGTGCCTTGATTTCTTTTCAGTTTACTTGGATGAACCAGGATTGACTGTAGTATTGGTACCAGAGTGTTGATCACTAGGGTGTTCGGGCAGCCTGGGTTCATGCTGCCCATAGGTCTGACTAGAAACCAAATGTGACTTGAGCTGAAACAGAGGCTCAGGACTTTCCCCCAGGATGGTATAGGAATTCAGAGTAGAAAGGGTCTCAGACACAAGTACTAGGAAAAGAGAGAAGTGGTTTTCATCCTTTCCTCTTCCCTCCTCCCCAGAGCTATTGCTCAAAGGGAGCAAAGAGGAGCAGCGGGATTATGTCTTCTACCTGGCTGTGGGGAACTACCGGCTCAAGGTAAGGCAGAGAGCTCCCTTTCCACTCCATCCTACTTGGATGGGCCATAGCCCACCCTCTCCTTTCTCTTCAAGGTAGAGCCTAAAGAGGGCAATAGGCAGGGGGTGGTATCGGGTACAGAGGTGCAACGTGACAGCAGGTCAGGATGCTGAGGGAAGGTGAGAGGCAGAGGATCAGGGTGCTGAGGGTGTGGGGAAAAGGTGACGTCAGGATTGGGGTGCAGCCCCGGGCCTTGGGTTGTTATCTCCCCTAGCTTATCATCCCCACACAGTTGGGGTTGTTTGTGGACTCTACTCCATTGGGTGGGGCTGGAGTGAGGGAAGGGGGTGGAGGTAGAAGGAGGAGCCCCCAGGGCAAATGAAGGGAAGGCCCCTCTGATGGGCAGGAGTGCTGAAATACTGAGGGGTGCGTGTGTGTTTTCCGAGTGTAGGAATATGAAAAGGCTTTAAAGTATGTGCGAGGGCTGCTGCAGACAGAACCCCAGAACAACCAGGCCAAAGAACTGGAACGGCTCATTGACAAGGCCATGAAGAAAGGTGAACGCCTTCCCCTCTGTCTTTCTCCACTCTCGACTCTCCTATCTCGCTGGCCCCCATCATCCTTAGGTCCTTCTAACTATTAGTGTAGTCCTCTTTCTCTCTCCCCACCCCATGCCTGGGCCCTCTGGTCGCTCTTTATTTTTTTATTTTTATTTTTTTAATATATTATTTTATTGATTTTTTTACAGAGAGAAATGGAGAGAGATAGAGAGTTAGAAACATCGATGAGAGAGCACTTTAAATGACTCCCCCTCCCAGCAATTCCTCCTCAAAACCCCAGAAGCCTTTGTCCAACCCTTGGAGTCTCTCACCCCGTGCATCCGGTGGAGAGGCACAGCTGTTGAGGAGCAGTGGGCAGGAAGAAGATAGTAGCCAGGGTCCTAGTGGGCGGGGGCTCAGCTTCTGACAATTTCCCTTTTCTTCTCCCCAGATGGACTGGTGGGCATGGCCATTGTTGGAGGCATGGCCTTGGGTGTGGCGGGACTGGCTGGACTCATCGGACTTGCTGTATCCAAGTCCAAATCCTGAATGAGACTGCACCTCTGCCTCTGCCCAGGGATACATGGGCGCCCGTGGAGAACACTCAGAGAGGGCCCATCCATTCTCGCTGCGTCCCTTTCTTCTGCACCCTGTTACTGTCCTCTGTGGCCTCAACCTCCTCTCCCCAAGATCTGTCCTCTAGCCCCAGATCGTGTGCTTTAGGATGAGTGTAAATAAAATTGGGCTTTGACTTGCGAACCTCTGTGTCTGTGTTGAAAAAAGGGCAGGTTCCCTTGGGCCCAGAAGTTGGGGTAACATGTGCTCCTTTCCTGCTCTTTGTTCTTCTATTACCTCCGTGCTGGTATAGGGTTCTCCTTTGTTTGCAGAGCTGCCCAGATCCCACACCCTTCCTCCCTCAACCCCACCAAAGCCACGTGGCCTCCACACAGCCCTCGGATCCTGAGAGAAAGTGACAGGAGGTGGGACAGGTTTGGATTTATGTCTCCTGTCTCCTCTGACCCACTCAGCTGCCTTTTAGCACGTGGAGTTTTCCACACCAGGGGGCCCCCCCACTCAGTTTCCTCCAAAACCTCCGCCCTTCCCCTCCCTTTGTCTTCCTGCTTCCTCCCCTTCCTCCTACCCTAGCCTCCTTAGGAGAGGGGGTGATGTTGGGGGCGGGGAGGGAGATGGTGGGGAGGAAACAGGCATTTGGCATGGAGTTGGCAGGAATTTTAAAAGAGGTTAGGAACCCAGGACACCCCAGTTGTAGCCTCTGAGTGGAAGGTGGGGACCCAGTCCCCACCCAGCCTGCTTTGCCCCACACCCACCTTGTGCCAGGCTCAGCTTGGGCCTGTCTTGCTTCACTGCATACCTCTCATTCCACAGCCAAGCCAGCCCAGCTGGGGGATCGATTGGGGAGGAGGCCCCTGCGGGGAGCACAGGAGCCTGAGGTGGGGAGGAGGGGATTGGGAGCTTAACTTTGGCTCAGCGACGTGTTGTGCAATTGCCTGGGTGTAGTAGGGTCAGCCCCTGGGAGACTGAGCCCCAGCACCCTTGCCAGAAGAGAAGAGGGCTGCCCTGCTGTGCCCTTGGAGCAGGAAATGAGACTGGCTACTCCGGGACAGGTGCTCAGCTTGGGGTGGGGACCCAGAGGTTTCTAATCCGTCATAATTAGCAGAGCTGGTGACAGTTCTGATAACAATGAGCTGCGTAGATTAGCCATGGGATCACCTAAGCCTGAGATTCATCCCCTCTCTGGGACCCTTGGCAGCAAGATCAAGCTTGTTGCCGAGGGTCAAAGACCAACCCACCAAATGGGAGAAATCAAGTTCAGGAAGTTGAAGTTTGCAGGAAAGCAACCTCTGATGGCTTCACTCTGGATCTGCAGGACCGAGTAATTCATCTGTGTGGGAGCTTGGATCTGTGGTCACAATTCTTACAACCTATGAGAGGAGGAGGAGGAGCTGTAGTTCACAGAAGCAGAAGTGAACCCGTGGGGCTCCAACTTTATTCTGTGTCACTTTGGTAAATGATGGGATCTGGTGCGAATCTAGGTTGGTTGGACTCCAGAGCCATTGGTTTCCCCCACAGACCCTGTTCCCTTCTTCAACCTTAATCTTCCTGGAAGACTCAATGCCCCAACCCTTAGGTCTTCCAGTTTCCTGAATTGTTCTCACCAACAGCAGCAGGTAGTGCCTCTGCTCCCTGTTCTTTCCCTGTTGAAGGCTGCCGTGCCTGTCCGTGGTGACTGTCTCCGTCTCTTCTTGTCCCTCTTATTCCATTCTCTGGCCCCTGATGAAAGCTGAGTCAGAGACACGCTTCCCCTTGGCTCCCAATGCCTCCCATGGGGGCCCCTCCTTGGCTGCATCCGTTAGTCACTCCCCGGTAAGTCCCCCCCCACACCCTGTGGGGCGGGGAACCCAGGGCAGCCAGAGGCAGTGGACTTTTGGCCCGTTTCGTTTATTCCTTACATCTCATCAACATCTGCCACGGGCTCTTGGCTCATTCCTCTGACTGCTGACCTGCAGGGAAGCAGAAACCCAGAAAGAGAGAAGGAAGGCAGAAACCCGGAGACAGACCTGAGGCCGAGGCTGCCGCTGGCCTTCCGTCCTTCCCCTCTCTCTCTTCCCACCCTGCCCTAACACCTCTCCCTAGCCAACGCCCGTCAAGGTCCCCCGGGGCTCAGCCCTTCTCCCTCTGGGGCCACAGGTGCCCCTCAGGGCCTGCGTCCCACCATGTCAGTGGCTGTGGAGACCTTTGGCTTCTTCATGGCAGCTGTGGGACTGCTGATGCTGGGTGTGACTTTGCCAAACAGCTACTGGAGAGTGTCCACTGTGCATGGGAATGTCATCACCACCAACACCATCTTCGAGAACCTCTGGTACAGCTGCGCAACCGACTCCTTGGGAGTCCACAACTGCTGGGAGTTCCCGTCCATGCTGGCCCTCTCCGGTACAGGGTGGAGGGTGAAGGGAGCAGAGGGAGGGTGGGAGGTTGGAGAGAGCTCTGGGAGTTTGGGTGCTGCCTGGGTCTGGCCGTGGGTGCCGTACAGATGAGAGAGGCCTGACCAAGCTCAGAAGGGCTCCTGCAGAAGGGATTGCTGGGGGTAGCTGCCTGTCGAGAACTGCAGCGGTGACCTGGTCACACGTGGCCCCCTGCCCTCATGTGCCACTCGGTCTCCGTGGTGTGCAGGCACCAGGATTAGACGGCCAGGCCAGCGCCTGCTGTGTCCTAGCTCTGTGCTTTGCGCAGGTGGTAAAATGAGCTTTATTTGACCCATCTGTAAAATTAGAATCATAATAGTCGTGGGGACTTTAAGAAATAAAAAGGTGAAAAATGTTAACATGGTGTTAGCAGCTATATGCACTCAAACAATGTTAGCATGTTAGTGTTGGGTTGGGAGTGCTGGGGTTTGTGGGGTGAAGAGGAGGCCCTATCTTGGATTCTTGGGAGTTGAGACAGTCTCCGTAGCCTCACAGGCTCCCACGGAGACGTCAACGCCGTGGCGAATGGGAAAGGACTGTTTTCAGGAGTCCTGAGTGTCTAAGGCAGGGGTCCTCAAACTTTTTAAACAGGGGGCCAGTTCATTGTCCCTCAGACAGTTGGAGGGCCGGACTATAGTTTAAAAGAAAACTATGAACAAATTCCTATGCACACTGCACATATCTTATTTTGAAGTAAAAAAACAAAACGGGAACAAATATTTGTATTTGCATGTGGCCCACGGGCCGTAGTTTGAGGACCCCTGGTCTAATGTGAGCAGGTGAGAGGGTGTGCATGTGTGTTCGAGGTGCCTGGGGGTGTATTTTTTCAGTTCTTGGTGAGCTAGAGCCTACAGCTCTTTTGGCCGAGAAGGATTCTCCCTGGTAGCTGTAGCATCTTCCTGTTTCCTGCTCACCCTATGAGTAGCCCCCCATTATTCCCTAGGGGAGTCTGCCTTCAGTCAGCCCCATACCAAAAACCAAGAGGGGATCATGACCAGGAACCGTATGTGGTGCCATTCCCACAGCCTCACTGGGTTCTCCCGGGGCCTTCTCACTCTTCCAGGTCCCCTCTGCAGGTGCCGGAGGCAGGGGAAGGAACGGAGGCCAACACTGGGTTAGAGCAGGGCTACACCCAATCCCCCAGGATGTCAGAGATGCTCTGAGCAGTTAGGGGGTCCAAGGGGGTCTCTTGTGTCCCCACTGTTCTCAATCTCCCAGAGCAGTTGGAGAGGCTTCATCCTTTCATCACTTTCTCTAGGACTTAACAAGGCAAGTGCCCCCATCCCCCTCCCCCCCAAACAAAACTATAAAAGCAAGTATGAACTGGGCCAGAAGCCCAGAATGCTGAGTGGCCAGAAGGGACACGAGAGGCAGCCAGCTCAGCAGCCCTGGTCATCCCACCTCACATACCTCCCACCCACACCGTGAGGAAGGCCTTTGCTGTGAGCTGCCCTTGAACTGCTGCTCTTGACCTGAAAGAGAGCATGAGTGTGCATGAGAGATGAAGAGGCAAGAGTGGGCTTGGGGGAAGGGCAGAGTGCAGCTGTCCATGCTGAGGGGCATCTTGGTTCCGGGTGTGGTGCTGGGTACCTCACTGCACCATTTTAGGGCTGCTTACAATAGTTCTGCTGTTGGGGGTGTTAGTAACCTATTTTTAGAGAACCGGGGAAACTGCAGGCATAAGCATTAATGTACCCTGAGGCACACAGGTTGGAATCCTGACTTGTGTTTGAGTCTAAAGCTGGCTGACCTCCAAGGCTGGTTCTAGTCCTGAGAGGGGTCCTGCCATTTAGTCACCTCCAAGCTGTGCACCCCTAGCCTGCAGCCTTCTGGTCCCTGTTCTCACAGGCCCTTTAATTACCCTTTGTCTACCAGAGCTGGTCTGCCCAGGTGGAGGTGGGTAGATGGATGGGTGGGAGGGAATAGGATATGCGGCAGGTGAAGAGGGCGGGAACTCCAGAGGGAATGGCTGGGAGTGAGAAAATGCTCCCAGAGAACTTTGTCCCTCCTCCCTCCCCCCCAGCTCCATGCCACTAAACATCCTCTTGGCAGGGACCCAGCCTTTCCCCTTCAGCACTGATGGCACTGCCCCACCTGGGAAAGGAGTGCAAGGTCCTTGGGTGCTTGGCAACTATCAAAGTCAAGGAGGGGGGAAGGGGAACCAGGAAGGAAGCCAGCCATTTCCTTCAGCTTTGAGAAAGGGGAAACTGAGGCACTGAAAGCACATGTGCAAAACTGACTTGGCTTGGTCCTGGGCCCAGGTAATCCCACCTCCCAGATTAGAAACGGCCCTGGACCCAGAGACCCATAGGCCACTGCTGCCCCCTACTGATCACTCAAGGAAGAAGCTCAGGTCAGGATGTCTGGCACTGTGCTAGGTACTTGGTAGGACCTGGAGAGAGGCAGGTGTGGGAAGGGGCTGGGGTTACACAGGTGATTTCTGCTATGCACAGCAGAGATTGGTGGTGATGTAACAGAACAGTGGTTCTCAACTAGGTGATTTTGCCCCCAGGGGTCATTTGACAGTCTACAAATTTAATTGTCCCCCTTGAGGAGACTACTGACATCTAGTGGTGGAAGCCAAGGATGCTGCTAAACATCCTATAATGGGCAGGATGGCCCCACAGAACAAAGCATCATCCAGCCAAGTCAGTAGTGCTGAGAAGCCCTATGCGGAGGCGGAGGTGGAGGTACAGGGGAAGTGCACTGGTGCAGGTGGCAGGGCAGGAGGGGCTGAGACTCCTTGGGACTGAGGTGAGCTCCTGGGAAGGAGGG